AAGACAGAAGAAAGCAAAGCAGACTTAAAATACATTCCAATACTTTTTAATAGTTAAGACAAAGAGCAAGGTTCAAATCTGAAAGAGCTTGGGAAGAGGAAAGTCACCTTTTTCCATTAACATTTGTGTCTCACTCTTTACAAGCAGTAGATACATTGGTTTTTGTTAAAGCGGGGCAAAAAAAGTATCTAAATACAGATGGTTACTACAGACATTATGCAAACAAGCGCCATTTGTTTCTTCAGCGAGCAGACTGTTATCAGTGCTAGATCTGAAGGAAGACAGTCTCAAACTCAACAAATTAATTATAACTAATACTTATGTAAAGCAATACATGGCCAACCACTACAGTTATCCGATCATTAATTTTCTTTAAAACCCAGACCACTGCTGTCAGAGAAGTGTTTTTTAGGTACACGAGGGAAGTAATTCTTCACAAGCTTTCCCCCCTCCCACCCCCCCCTCTTTTTTGCACTGGCCATCCAAACCTCTTGAACAACACTGATTCTGTGAATATCCTTCTAAATTAATAGGAAAAATCTTGATGACTTTCACTTTGAGAAGGGAGGGGGGAAAATATCCCTCCTGATCTGAAGAAGTATTTTTCTTGTTAGTGTGTTGCAACATGTGAGAGAAAACCGACTTCCGAAAATTAGTACTTCTTTCCCCCAAGAAATCACTCAAAAGTTTTTCACACTGAAGACATCTACCCCAATGAACTTAAGCTCACTATATTAGTTGGCCCCAAAATATTATTCCCACAGTAACTGCTTCAGAAACTGAAATCAAGAGCCATCTCAATGAGCTATGATACTTCTGCAACAAAACTACAGTAGAAAACTTCTGGTTTGACAGTTTCCATTAAAAAACCCAAGCATAAACTCTTCCACAGTAGTATGTACATATTTTCAGCAGAATTAGGAATAATTATGGAAAATGCTTTCCCTGCATATGTCACTAATGATGATAAAAGTAAAATATTTCAGCAGTTAACACAGATGTTCTTTGTTGTGCTATAACCTGTCAGATGTGATACTTCAAAAAAAGTTAAGGGAGTAACAAAAAAGATCTTTGTCAACTCTCTTGTCCATAAATAAAACACAGTTAAAAGTTAATATAAAAAGCTGCCACTTTCCAGAAGAAAACAGTAACTGGCCTACTTACTTGAATCAGGCATAATGCGAAGGTCACCTTCTTTATAATCATCTAAGAGTTGGTACATGTACAAGACGGGATCTTTCTCGTAGGTAATATAAAACCATGTGTTCATAATAGGAGCACGAGCCAAAACCATCCCCCTCCATTCATCTTTTGAGCCATCCTCTGTCTCAAACATATGTTCCACAGCTTTGCCAATCATGGTGTCTGCCAGGTGGGCATCACTAATTCGAGATGAAGCTGAAACGACAGCATGTCGTAAGTTCATTCCAAAGCCCAGATATATGTCTTTGTGAAAAACCACGTTTACTCTGATTCATAAACAAATTTGATAGGAAGCTAGTTAATTCATATACAAAACAAACACCGTCCATTCCAGAGAGGTTACTACTGAAGAACCAAAGAACTTCAGAATGTTCTCAAAATAACAATGCATCATCATATTCCCTATGATGAAACCATCGTAGTGCAAGGTAAAGCGAGATCAATCGACACCACAGCAGCGAAGAGACTGCATTTTAACTAGACATTAGATGGTGAGAGGCAGGTAGGGGAGAAGAGGAAGAGAGGCCAATCACAGAACAATTCTATCAAGTTACTAATGAAACTTGGGGGTTTGGTTCCCCTTAACACCACTCTAGAGATTGCTACCAATTGCTTTGCACTCTGAAGAAGCAACAGCTTATTCTGTTTATAAACTAATAATTACTTGGGTAAATATCAAACTTTGCAGTTTGAAAAACCTGCAGCTTAACAATCCAGTGCTAATTCTGAAAATTAAAAAGCCTTGTTACTAACCAAATTATTTCACTTAGCAAATGCCTTTTCCCCCCATCATTGAAAGTACTTAGGGGAAGTACATGAAGAAACACGTGACATTATCACTGTCAAAATACACACAACAGACAACATAGCTAAGATGGCTTTAAGAGTTTAAATTTTAACAGAAATATCAATGTTAACTTTACATATGGTTCTTAGGGATCTAAGACTCTAAACAAAAACTACAGAATGTACTGCATACTACTTAAAGACAGAAGACAGCACTGCACTCGCCGGTATCATCAAATCTTTATGGAGCCAAGAAAATTTAAATGGAGCATTTAGATTACCCCAAACGTGACAAAAATTAAATTGGTGAGTAACATTAAGTGGTCAGATGTTATCTTGGGAGAAGTCTGAAGAGATTAGTGGAGAACACTTAATCATAAATGTCAGCATTTATATGTATGCAACTTTAGGAGAAAAACCTAAACCACTTACCAACTCTGTCTGGAAGAACTTCAAGTGCTGAAACTCTTTCATCTTTGTGCAGTTCTAGTCCATACACACAGTCAAATCCATCATACTTTATAAGATAGAGAGAGGGATTTACAGGAACTTGATCAAGAACTGTGCCTTTCCATTGTGTTACAGGTCCACTCCCTTCTTTCCATCCATGCTGTATTCTGCAGCCTACAATATTTCTTCGCGGCTGAGAAATAGGTTTGCTTGGTCCCACATTGTTCCTATGCTTTCTGTACACAGATACAAACATAATATTAAACAAGTACACACATATTCAAAATTCTACTCCAGACAAGAGCTGTATGCTCTAAGATGGCAATATATTTTACAGCTTAATGCACCTTATTCAAATTAGGGTATAAAGCATATTACACTGTACTGGAAAAAAGAAACAACACTGAAAAGGAGTGAAACATTTTTTATGTGCTTTTTAAGGTCAGTTTTCTAATAGCAATTTCTAAAACCAGTTTGCTTAAGACAGAAGAACTATTTTAGCCCTTGCTACACAACGTCTGAAGTAAAACTCACCTGATCAGGTCTCAAAGCACAAGGCTGTCTGGCACTATAACAACTTCACTATTATGTTGTTCTCTGAATAATAGTAAACACAACTCCTGTCCCAGGAGGAAGTCAGTGGAAATACTACCAGTGGCTGACTGAAATTCTTCCAAGGCATTTGGAATTTAAAAAATTCCCTAACCTGTGTTCTCACCTGAAGGAAGTTTAGCTTCCTTCTCCATTTACAGGTATTTTTGTCTTCATGTATTTTCAAAGACACATGGCAGCAACAACACTTCTCTAGTGCTCCTTTTTAGTGTAGCAAAAGAAAAAAGTGATACATAATGTTAATGGTAATACAAGGGATGCTCCTTGTTGTGGAAAACAGATTAAATATTCTTTTTTGTCCTTCCTCTATCTTCATGGAAGTTGCATGGGAATTCCCTCTGGTGAGTAACAGTTGTTCCGATCAACAGTCATGTAAGCTATTTGACAGTTTCAAATCACTGGAAGTATTACACAAGTTTTGTTCAACCCAGTTACTAAAAACACTAATTGACAATTCAAATACAAATGGAAACTAAGAAACATTATGACAGTATGGTGATATTTCAGGAAATGAGTATTATATCTATTTTAGCATGTCACAGTGCACATCCTCATTCCTAAAAAGATTACTTAGAGGGTTGCCTGATCAAAATTCTCATGAGTGTCAACTAGCTGCAAAATAATTTTTCGCTTTACTACGTGTCACACACTTCACTTAAATGGCAGTAAAATATGTGCACCACTAGTACGCTTAAAAGAGAGTGCCAGTTGCAGAAAACAATACTCTTCCTTAGACCACAGAAAGCAACCAAAGAGAAACCTCCAGGAACAATGAATGGTCTCAGAGAAGTCCCTGTATCATCCAAAAAAGTCAAATAACAACCATACCACTGAAATCCTGGAAGAAGTCTTCCGAAATAATGCACTTCCTACATGACATTGGAATGCTTAATGATGAAGATTTAATCATAACTATTAAAAGATGTGCAATTCCTTCAGCAGCTTGTCCCACACCTCCAGACTTTTATTCACCATGAAGATCTTAGTAGAGGGTTATGTCAAATGTCATGTTTGTAATCATCTGCAGTTTTTGTTTTCCTAACTTTGACAGCACAGATTATTATAGGAACTCCAACCTCTTCCAGTTAAGAGACGTTTTCCCACAAAGGTGGTTCTAATTTTATGCAGGAACTAGAATGCATTTATTTTCTTGCTCAAGTATGTACTTTTTTTTGTTTAATTCTCAGTCTCAGTAATAGTTTACTATTACAAAATGAGATCAGAGATCTAGTTCTCAGCACAATAAAAATAAGTGTTTTGTATGCATTTTAGTTCTAATCAATCATGGTTCCATTCTAAAGCAGAATAAAACCAACTGAAGATAAAAAAGTTTTAAAAGATAGAACAACGCTAGTTGCAAGCAGTTTGTCTATGCTGCTAATCATCTCATCATTGAAAAAGGTAAAAATAACACTATTCATGTTCAACCTCACAGTCAATTTTACTTTCTGTCTATAAAGCATAATATATGTTAAAATTTAAATTGGAACAATTAAGCAAAAAGTTTCACACTCATTTTAAGAAAAACATGATGGAAAAAGACAACATAAATGAGTTCAAATTGGTACCTTTAAAAAGCCTCAGAGAGCAAAAAGCATTACAAATTTGATAACAAGTCAAGTACCTGCCAAGAGTACTTGCAGTTCAAATTTTTGTTTGAAGGTTGCACTACTGAATAGCCATTCACTCTCACTTGCAGTGGTTCATACCATAAGAAATAAGGTTTCCAAACTAGCTAATCATCACAGAAAACCTACTGCTTCTTGCATCTGAACACGTGGTAAGAAAGCAAGCATAGGTTTCTAACTATCAATAAATAATATGTATGAACAGCCTTCTATATAAGACAACCAAGTAACCAACAACTCAAACCTCTCCTCTCCTCAACCGTGTGTTATTTCTGTGATATACCAAATAATATAAACATACATAACCTTCTGTAGTGCTATATCCAGAAAGCCCAACACAATTTTTTCCTCCTATTTCATCAGAAGGATTTGCTCCTGAAAATTGCGTAACAATTTTCCTGGACATGTAAAACATGGAGCCAGAAAAACCAGAAAATAACAAATCCAGGAAATAGCTCTCGTCATATCAGGCACAATCTCATTGTAAATGGCCCTTCAATCCCCAAAAGCTTCAGATCCTTTTCCTTACCCTGAAGGCAGTAAACTGGTAAGTAAAGCCTAGTTCTGTCAAAAGGTTTCATTATGAGAACCAGATACTTTAGAAAATTTCTAAAGACTACACAGGCAGAAAGACATCTTGCCAGATTTTAAAGCTGTGTTTATATGGTCCTCACACAAACTATTTGGCAGCTGCTACCAGGGAAATGAATACAGTGTAGAACTGCACAGTACTGGCAGCAGAAAAATCAACTGTTACTTCAGGGTTTTGCTTAAAAGACAAACTAGCATTTATAAAAAGGAGAACAGCAACTCCCAATAACCTATCAAGTAAAGTTATCAGTTTAGGTTTGGTTGGCGATTTTTGTTTGTTTGGAGGTTTGTTTGTTTGTTTTGTTTGTTTGTTCTTCCCTGACTTCAGAAAAACACTGCAGGACAGAACTAAGACAAAAAAAACCCCAAAAAACCCCCAAAACACCACAAAACAGAAGAGTGAAAGAGGACCATACCCCTCAGATGTGCAAAAAAGGCACAACTGTGAAAAACAAGACGGAAAACTACAAAGCAGTATAAATGCAGTAGAACAGCAATGGTCAGCAACATTTCAAGTCTTTCATGGTGCAAAGCAGATCAGGTACTAAAAATAGAACCCAAAACTTGTTACAATTGTGATCTTATTACAGACTATCATTAATAGCAGAATGCTATGAGATTAGAGAACTGTTATCAACTACTTTTCACGATATTCGACTATGAGGCACACTGAGGCAAGTTTTCAGTACTTTCTGTACTCCCTCAAAAGCCGTAATTTAGTTGTGAATTTCATCTTCAGATGCTACAGGAACGAAGATTACAAGTCAGCTTAAAGTGGGATCAGAATTTCAAAATGTTTACATTTACTTGTAGTTAAATTGAAGGTATAACCTGCACTAAAGGTCCTTGAATTGCCAACTACAAGGAATTCGAAGAGCCTATGAAGAAAGGATTGTTCTATACTATTTCTTGTACTCATGCACCAAGGGTGGAAAGAATGAGATCTAGGAGATAACTGACTGCTCTGACGCCAGTGAGCTCACCTTCATATCAGCAGAGGTCATCACTGCCCATTGACAGAGCACTCTGAAGAACTGCTTTAGAGCCACAGGAACCATTTCCAAAAGGCTCAACAGTTAACAACCATTTAGTAAAGAAGAGTTCAGAAGATTCATCCACACTGCTCATTCTATCACATCCTCAATAATTGAGTCATGCCCTGTTCCATTCTCTTGGCTCCCTCCTCTGACACAAACCTTCTGAAGCTAGTTTAAAATTACCTCAATGGCCTCGAATACCAGTAGGCTTGTTCCTCTTTCTCTTTAAATGAGGTGTAACTAAATAAATAACTGAATTGGTCACAAAGTATACAGTAGACCATGAGTTAGTAATGTAACAGCTCGGAGTAGTATCAGCATATATTATAACATGGTCATTCTTATCCCACTCATTTATGGTAAACTACAAATATAAAAAATTCTCTTACTACTCTACCTCATTCTCAGAAGTCAGTGAGCAGCACACAACAAATCATCTCAGTTTGTCACAAAAAACCTTTACTAAATAATTAATAAACAATTGAGCTAGGCTAAATTAACATAAAACTAAGCTGGATGCTTCAGTTAAATACCTCAAAATCATGTCACTTAAGATCAAAACTTCTTACGCCCCACAAAAGCCTTTATGCTAAAAAATTTACAGCCTATTTAGGTATTTAAATAAGTGTATATCAACGCAACAATAAAGACAAATCTAGCCACCCTCAAGTACAAAAGGCAACCCACCTCTGATAGTCTTCCCATCATACACTCCTTTCTCTGAGCGGTTGAAAGAGAACAAGAAAAATTAAGTTTTAACCAACTCTAGCTGTCCCTAGACAAATAAATGTTTCTCTTTGCCTTCTATGACGATAGACAAGAATGGATAATGATGAGCTTGTGGAAGGGATTAGAGTAGTTTTACATCAGGTGTTCTCTGGGCAACAGTTAACACTGTTAGCAGTGATTA